CCCAAGCATTAAATATCAGCAGAGTATTAAACTGTGAAATTTTGATATCTGACCTGATCGCCAAGTTGTGAAGCAAGAACAAGTGCAGGTCCCCACAATTGTCCTTCTTGAGCACATTGTAAAGCCTCCTTCTTTTTCCCAGAAACAAGAAGATTTTGAACCTCAAGAGCCATTGCCTATATCAAAATCAAAATTAGCAAAGGCTAAAAAACAATATTGTAGTTGAAGTGGGTCAGGAGTTAAATACACACCTTCATTTGTTCTTCAGAAGGCAAACTTTGCAAACAATGACTTGGCATCCCATATTGAGGGAACTCTGTGCTACTCATCTTAGCAGATGCAAAAAGCTTTGCAACTGCCGACTCGGGAGTATCAGTTTCCTGTATCAAATACAAACCCCAAAAGGATAGCAAATTGGTGATTGATTCAATGAGGAATAGTATTCAGGCAATATGACTCAGAATCAGAGACTATCTCGGGGCATGATAAATATAGTCAACATGATTTTAGTTTTTGCCATAGAAAAAAGAATAGAGCACAATAGCCATTTGCAGAGCAAATATAAATTATAATGTTATGAATCATTTCAACAGAAGTGATTCTGAAAGGACATATATCATCTCCAATAAATGCATTAATGAAAGTTGACCTAAATTTCAACAAAATAATGTTGCAAATCATGTGCACAACACACCTCGATAAACCATACAGAATGTTGATCAACCTTGAAAAGTATAGTAGATTCAGTTGTCAATGTTTACATGAATGGGGGAAAAGAATTTGAATGACTGAAGATGTAACTATATTTTTCTGTTAAATTTTATTAATTATTATTACAAAAAGATTTATTATAAAATACTTTAGCAACTTATTTCTTGATTTATATATTTAATTATAATTTTAAAAATTATTATAAATTTTGTTAAAATTAACTATATATCTTACAAATATTTTTCATTATTATTTTTATAAAACATTTTAAAAGTTATATATCAAAATAAAAATAATATATTTATGTAAGTAAAATAAATTCGATATTATTAAATCGATGCAATTAATATCTTCATTGTATAATATTAATTTCTGTATTAAAAATAATATATAAGTGTTAAAATATAATTTAATTGATATTATTAATATAATATTTTAATAATATCTATATAAATTAGTGTTTTATGATAATATATTATATATTATATTAATTAAAAAAATATATTATATTAAAAAAATAAAATATAATTATTACAATATTTAATGCTTATATATAAGTTAATTTATATTATATATATATATATATTGATGTATATATAAAAGTGTATATATAATTTATTTAATTGTTTCTATTATATTTATTATTTTAATAATTAATTTAAATTTAATTATACATTTTATAATTTTTTAATAAGTGAATGATTGATGATCAACTAAAACTATTTCAAAATATATTTTAAACAAAATTGTATTTTCTAATGAATAATTAAATTAAGGTATAATTTTGTGAATAATTAAATTAAAAATATTTTTGAAAATTTTCAAGTAATTATTCTTTGACATGTTAAATTAATATGATAGGACAGTGATAATATAAATATTTCTAACGGATAAAAATATAATATATTTTATATTTTCACATACAGAGAATGAATAGCATTAATACTTACTTCTAGTGTAATTTTTATTAATGATATTAAATTAAATAGGTTAAATTGTGAATTTTGACATAAAAGAGAAAGACAATACAATATTTTATCTTTTAGTAAAAATACTTTTAATTTAACGATTGAATTTATAAAATTTATATTTAATATAAAGTTATTAAGCGATATCATAGTTAGTAAAAATTATATCAATATTATTTGAATTCTCATATATATATATATATATATATATATATATATTCACGTGGTTAAAATATCTAAATTTTCAATTGTTTTATCTATATTCTAATACATATATCACATATATTTATTCACATACTTTTTGTATGTTAATTCTAAATAGGTATATTATATTTCTATTGTTAGTAGTGAGCCACTAACTATAGTGACTTAGTCGTTACGGTATCCAACAAATTAAATTTTTTATTTGGTTGCTCTTAATGTCATGATTTACTTTTATATAATTAAGGATAATTAATTAGTTTAATTAAATATAACTGATACATGATTAACGTTTGATTGATCTGAAATGCTAACTTATATGTATTTTTTTTAATTAATTACTTCTTTCGAATTTAATTATAAACAATTTTAACTAATCATTTTACTTTGTCAAGTTAAAATAGTTAGCATTTTTCTTGGGCCCAAGGCTTTAACTTCAGTGGTGTTATCTTTAAATGGGCTATGATTGAAGGTTTTTCATATTTTCACTTTTTTTTTTGTCGTGTTTAGGATAACATGACACTAAAAAAGGTAAACTCTCCTTATATGTTGATGTAATAAATTGATGTTTTTATTGCTCTTTCATTCTATTTGATTTATGACTTTTTTCCCCATACTTTGTAGATATTGACTTAAAAAAAGCTAATAATAAGTTTATTTATTATTATATTTTTTTTACCTCATTTTACTTTATCGGTTCAATTTATTTTAAAAAAATGATGCAATATAATTTTTTTTTCATTTTAAATTAACAACATTAAATTTTTGCACATGTGACACATTAAAAAATGGCATGTACCATCACATGTATAAAAATTTAATGTCATCAGTAGAATTGTCAAAATTGACTCAATCAAAATTTTTGTTCATTAATTTGTCATGTTGGACTCTTATTTGTAGGTTTAGAAAATATTGGGTCAGTTTACCCTGATGGGCCAATTGGACCAATAAAAATTAGGCCCAAAGGATACCAAACCTATTTAGTTCATCTTTCTCTCTCTCTCTTTTGTTTTAACAAGAATATATAACTCTTCTTTCATTAAAATAACTCTTATAAAAATAAAGTAATATCTTTACTCATGAATTCATGTCCAAGTCAAAGATCAAACTTCAATCCTAAATTAAAAAATGTAAGTGTTGAATCACTTAGTCTAACTATCTTTTTTGATCAAACTATTAATTTTTTTTATATAAGAGTCTTTTAAAAATTTATATTATAAAATCTTGATTATAATATTTAAAAAAAATCTTAAAAATTATTACATTTATGCAAAATCTTTTAAAAAATCTTTAAAAGTATTACATTTATATATATTTTTAAAATTTACTAAATTTCTTTTTACTAAAACAATATTTTAAAATCCCAATCCAATATCCTCCCAAAAGATAACTATGCTTTGTGTGTCGTAGATTTTGATCTAATTGATTTTAAAATTTCAGTCTAAATTAATTCCAGTTACAAATTTTATATTAAACGAGTGCACTACCTGAGAATTTGGTTTTCAATGTAAACCAAATGGAGCCTATACCATATTATCATTTTTGCCTCTCCAAACAATAAATAAATAAAAACACGTGACATATTAATTAAAATAGAAAAATTCATACTCAACAAACTGAGTTACGCCCCCAAAAAACAAAACAATTTGAGATGATGTTATTAGTAGATGAGGCTTAAGGGATGCAGTTGATATATAGTAGACAACTAGATGGAAGGCAAAAAAAGAATAATTCATATATGAATGGTTTTTTGATTTATAGCCATGTATCTCCATGTCTCTTTGTCCACAAAGTCAGCATCCAAGAACCTGGAAAGAAAAGCCCACAGCCTGTATACATCTTCAAAGTTTGTGAACAAACCAAGTGCAGCTGTCACAACAGTTATCCCAAAACCACTCTTTCGTGTCTTGTTAGATACTTTATCTCTGTTTTCCAAAGCCCTTTGTCCCTCTTCATCACTCCTCTCCGAGAACCATATGTTTTGCAAAAATGCGTTACTTAAAGAGATATTGTTACGACCTGCTAGTTTCTGTACAATTGCAGGATCCACCTTTTCTCCTTTCCAATCAAACACATTAAATGCCACAACATGTCCACGCTGTGCACTTATCTTTGGTCCATATATCCTAATTAGAGCATGCCCAGTTGGAGGATGTGGATGTTCAAGTCTTATTAATGCATTAACAAGCCAATTGATAAGATACTTACCCCTACAACTAATTACTACTAGCCCCACCGAGTCAGCATGGTCCAATCCTCTACACTCAATTTCTAAGCCTGCGCCTAATCTTTCTCTAGATTGACCCGACTCAAGGGATGTGCATGTGCTTAACTCCACAATTTCTGATGATGACAACACTTGTTCAGTTCCATGTGGTGACACTGATCTAAATGCTGGAGAGAGGCCTACAATTCCCATGCTTGTAGCATTGCCTGATTCTCTTAGAGCAGAGATACTAGATTTCTTGATGAACAAGCACCCAAAACCGGATGGGTTTTGACCGAAAACTTTGTATAATGAACACACTATAAAATCAGGCTTAAACATAGTCAAACCCAAGGTGTCCATCTCCTTAGGACCCAATGCACGTGCATCAAGCAAGACATGCCAACCAAATTTTTGTGCCAAGGACATCCAAATATACGAATAGGGTGTCCCAGTAACACCTGAATGAAGAGGAAAAACAAATAGCCCTTTCTTTCTCTTCCCCCTTTTACACATTACCATCTTCTTCAGTTTTCTTCCCATGATACTGAGACTTGGCCAGGTGAACTTAGCTGACATGACATGGACTCCTTGCTCCTTGCAGGTCTCAATCATCGTATCCACTGCCTCACTCTTGTGGTCATACACTGTGAGAAGCTCTCCATGAGGCTGAAACTGAAAAGAATCTGCTACAAGTTTAAAGGCAGATACATCGTTGGCAATGAAAACAAGAGTGTAGTCATCTTCAGAGATGTTCGTAAACGCCATGATTCTTCCTCTGATTTTGGATTCTAGTTCGGATTCTTGGCCTCCATAGAGTATCTGAGAGTGCAAGGTTACTGACTTGTAAGAGATGAGAAAGAAGGGTGGTGGAGGAGGGGGAGGACGAGAAGATGAAGAAGCATATGAAGATGATTGGTCCTGAGCGTGGGAGAAAAGGCCATAACCAGTGTAGTCAAAACAAATGTTGAAGGGGTTCAAGTGATGATATTCTTGGGCACGGATTCGATCAAGTTGAGATGTATTGGCAAATGAAGGGTATGATTTGGTGAAGTTGATGTATGAGTCGTCCAAAGAGGGGAGGGCCTCATGGTTGGTGAATTGGGTGTGTGGAGGAAGAGTGGAAGATGTGGCTGCCTCAAAGTCATCATGGCTAGAATTGGGAAACTTTTGAGTGTAAGAGGAAAGCATAGAAGAAGAAGGGAAACAGGCGTTGTAGCAGGGTTGTGATGCTTCTCCTGCACAAGGTGGCTGCATTTTCTTTCTTTCACTTTCATACTATTCTGCTATATTGTCTTTTCCTTTCTTTTTCTAGTTGTATTCATTGGAAATTTCATTAAGTTGGTTGTTGTAAATGTCTAAGTTCAATAGTCAGCCAGACAGGTTGTCTTTTGTAGTGTTCCACAACTCTCATCCATTGACACATAGTCTAAAAAGGAGTTCAACCCTTACAATATTTAACAATTCTTTTAATCGGTATGAATTATGTCAGTAATAAGTTGAACTTCACTCCCTGCTCATATTACAGCATCTCTCTATTACTAAGTGAACTTTAATAGTTCATATTTAATAAATTTCTTTTAATACACTTTAGTACTTATTAAAATGTATAATTTGTTGATTCGCTGGTGTGCTCTACGTTCATCTAAATAAGCAGTAAAATGTATAATTTTATTTTTTTTTGCATTCTTTTAATAAATTTCAACTGATTATAAAGAATGTGTTGAAAAAAAGGTGTACAATGGCAATTATTTACCACAGGGGTGCTACGGCATCATTTGGTTTCATGCATGTAAAGTTCCATGACGTATTAATTGGGTTTGCTTAAGAAATTAGGATTGCTGGAAATCACAATCCGGACAGGGAAGTTGGTTGGTCCATAACACGGGCCTTGGCTTGGAGAAGCGGATGTGGTTCTTCCGTCAACGGATAAAATTAGAATTGGAATTTGTAGAGCATTGAATGTTCAAGTTATTGCTTATATACAAAACAAACAAAAGGTAAAAGGTGAAGGCTGAGTTTTCATAGTTGCCGGCACTATCACCAAGACCCCCAAATTATTCTTTTCCAATTATTCTGTTTCTGTTTTATCTGCCATATTTGGTTTTGAGTTAATCATTCATACATTATCAATATAAAGTATAAAACTTTTTTACATCGATAATCAATCATATCTTTTAAATACTATTAAAAAAATTTACATTAGTAGGGTATGAGTGATTAAGTCGTTGGTTTTTCTCTCCACATTTAATTTAACCATAATTTGGCCAATTTTTTCTACGGAGTACACGACCTGTGAATCTGTGATGAGTGTAAATAGGGAGTCCCAAGGGGTGTGAATTGTGAAACACTCCATGTGTGTTTGTCTTGGTAGTCAAACCGTGTGTAATTTTCGCATTTTCAGACGTATGTTGGTTCTGGGTTAAAGCTCTATTGTCTGGGCCCAATTCATTATTTGACCAACATTCAGAAACATTCGGCTTTGCCCAATTTTTGTCTTCTCCATATTTTTCGTTTCTTCTCATTGGGCCCAGCTCAATTTGTTTTTGGCAGATGATAAACACACCTCCACTCTCGTATAAACACACCCCCTTTTTTAAAAGAATAAATAAAATATCTAAATTACCCTTAAAAAAAATTCCTAAACTTACACCTCTCTTCCCCTTACCCCCATTTCTCGCACCCCCCTTCCCGCACGCCACACCTCCCTTCCCCGCACCCCACACCCATCAATTTTCATTTTTTTTTTTAAAATTGTTTAGTGGTTTAGGATGGTTTTTCTGATCGTCGTTTTTTCTCTCTCTCTCTCTCTCGTTTTACGAGGGTTTAATTTAATTACAGCCACAGGTGATGATTTCTCATTAATGTTGATAATTTTATAGAGTTCATTAGAATACTTTTTATATAATCATTTAATTAAAAAATACTTTAAAATTATTTGATAAATGAATAATGTTGGGTTATGTTATGACCTGCGGCGCGTGGCGAAAGGAGGAAAATCCGAAGGCATTAGAATTGGGATGTTCCATTCCATCGAATGCGATGTGATTGGCTCCTCCGTTAGGGCAAAATAATGGCGGGAGCTACTGCGTCCTGTGTTTTCTGTGCGATTGCCACCAAATCCACCTCTCTTCTTCATTCCGTTCGTCTCTCTCTCTCTCTCCCTTCATCTTTCACTTTCTGTTTCTTTTCTGATTCACTTTCCCAATATTCTCAAATTGCAGGACGATAAGGTCGTGGCTTTTCAGGACATTAATCCATCTGCATTCAGGTACTCACAATTCTTCATTTCATTCTCATGCATTGCAATTTTCATTTGCCAATTTCACGGGCGACTAATTTTTTCAGTTTTTATTTTATTTTATTGACATTTTTATTTTGGTGACCAATTTGAACCTGGCAACTTTTAGGCATTACTTGGTAGTTCCTGTGGCGCACATTCCGACTGTTAAAGATCTCCAGAGAAAAACTGATGACTATTCTTTGGGTAAAGAAACTGATAGCTTTGGTCACTTCAGATTTTAAAACTAATGTGTTCAAATGTGCATGTTCCAATTTTCATGACTGGTTATTTTATACAGTGAGTCACATGTTAGAGGTGGGGAAAACGTTATTACATAGAGATGCACCTCAGTCCCAGCAGTACAGGTATTTATTGGGTTGTTTACAACTGTGCTTATTATTTTCTGCTTGTCCAGTTTGTGATATTAGATTGATCCATGATGCTGATTTAAATTGTAATTCCTACCACTAATTGTTACTTGAAGTATGGGTTTCACACCTACAAGGACTTGTTTGGATCACTTTCTTTAGAAACACTTCTAAGAGAGAAAAATAGGAAGAAAAAAGCAAAGTAAGTAGCTAAAACTAACTTATACATGAGTTAAAAATAAGATTTTGGAGAAGCTAATAATAGAAGAAAACTTCTACAAATTAGCTTATGCATAAGTCAATTTTAACTTATGCAGAAATTTATTCATTTTTTTCCTATTTTGTTCTCCTAGAAGTACTTCTAGAAAAGTTTATTCAAAAAAACCCTAAGCCTATAACTTGACGTGTGTTCTGACTAACACTCGCAAAATCTAAACTGCTCCTATATTATTAATATTTATTTTTTCTTGACACTAGCTGTATTCAATTGTTTTTTTTGGTTCAATTACCCTTTGATCCCTATAGGTTTATAAATTTTACCTTTTAGCTCCTATAATTAAAAACATTATATTTTAGTTTCTATATATACTGTCTTTGTTTCTTTTTAATCCTTCTAATTTAATAAATTTTACCTTTTAATCTCGTTTTTCTGATCGTCGTTTTTTCTCTCTCTCTCTCTCTCGTTTTACGAGGGTTTAATTTAATTACAGCCACAGGTGATGATTTCTCATTAATGTTGATAATTTTATAGACCCAGCGTTCGCAAAATGTCCACCCCAAATGGTTTTTGGCGATCGTAGATCCGGCGGTTATTAATGACGCAGGTAATGTAATTTGTGGCGGTTTTTAACCGCCAGAAACTGCCAAATAACCGCCACAAATCACAAGTGGAAGGGGGTGTGGGGTGTGGTGGTGCGGGGAAGGGGGGTGTGGGATGCGGTAAAGGGGGTGCGGGAAGGGGGGTGCGGGGAACGGGAGTAAGGGGAAGGGAGGTATAAGTTTAGGAATTTTTTTTTTAAGGGTAATTTAGACATTTTATATATTTTTTTAAAAAAAGGGGGTGTGTTTATACGAGAGTGGAGGTGTGTTTAAAACAGAAAAGTAATTAGAAGGGTATTTTAAAAATAAAAAATAGACGTATTTATCTATAAATAAAAAAAAAATAAAAAAAAAAACATATAATTGAAGTGTATATATTATGAGCTAAATAATTACCGGCAGCAAACGTGAAACGAGGCTGCAGTTTACGTAGGACCAAAACAAGAAAGAGAAAACATGGGCTAGGCCCAAATTGGAGTAATGCACTAGCTGTCCAATATAGTAAAGAAAAATTGGGCTTGTGCAGCAAGGCCCCTAAAAAATTCTATAGGAAATTATTCAACTGTATACACAATTTTTTTTATCTACTTTTATAATAATGGTTAAAAAAATTACACATACTCAAATAACAAAAAATAATACCATAAAAATTATTATTCTCTCTACTTTCACGAAGACACGTAGTGTATTTTTTTCTTATAATAGTATAAATATAACAACTATAATAACATGAACGAAAATGAGTACAAATAAAATACCCTATTGACTAATATAAAAGTAAAACTCATCTAAGGTTTAAAAATTAGCATTGATCCCTCGTTTTCACTGGGCTTGTTCTACTATGCCATTCTATCCTTTTTTAATTACATTTTTAGTGGTAAATAATCATTCCTAAAATAACTACTCCTAATTATAATTAGTTAGCTTGATCTGTTTAGTATTTTGGTTGTGATATGAGAAATTAAATATCCAAAAGGACCAAAACCTACATCTGATAGCAAAAATGAAATTTAGGTGACTTAATCTCACTGTTCACTTTATTTTATCGAGTTTAATAGTATGCATTGTGATTGTAAAAGTTTTTATATATTATTAATCAATCATAAATCATTTTTTAATAAATTTGAAGTTAGTTATAATAAAACTAAATAACTTCCCATACATAACAATTTTTTATTAAATAAAAAATGTAAAATACTTCTATAATTTCAGTACATTGATTATCTATTCTATTTTGTTATTCACTAAGTTTATTTAATTCACCACTCAAAATATGTAAATTTCTTGTTGATCTTCTACATATTAAAATCCACAGATAATTCTTTTGTCGATAACACGTTTTCTATGGGATGTAAAATTTGTAGGAATTTTCTTATAAAAAATTTGCAAGAAACTTTTCTTTGAGAAAATTTTCAACTAATTTTGTTGTTAATTTCAATTTTGCACGTAATTTTTTTTTTAAATCTAATTAAATTTAAAATAAGTTTTAGAATTTCTAAAATATTCATAAAAGTTCATTATTTGTTTATTTTATAATATCTAAAAAATTATTTAATTTATAAATATTTAATTGTTGAAGAGTATCATTAAGTACTTAAAATTACTCATAAGATATGATATTATGAAAATCATTTCATTTAATTTACACATGATAATTTGAATTATTTTGACCTTCCAATTTTTTTTGTTAAGCTTATAAGAATAATTTCTTCAATAAATCTTGTTCATAAGTCTTAACATTATGAATTCAAACAGTAAAAAAACATTATGAGTTCAAATAAAGTCTTAACATTAAAAAATAATTTCTTTGAGTTTCATTAAAAATTATAAAGATATGATACGAGATAACTTATGAGACCTATTTAAAGTTGTTAAAGAATTGTACTATAAAAAAAAAGTTGCTAAAATTCTCTCAAATAATATAGCATAATAGAACCCATAAAAGGCAGAGATAAGGAACTCGTGCTTAGCACTAAAAATGCTTTAAGGAGTTCAAATAAAAAGTACAGTAATGACATAGTACTTTGATTTGGGATGAATGATTATGATTGCATAGAGTTGAATGTGGAAGTAGCAGAGCATAGAGTGATAAATTAAGTGAAAATCAATTACAGCGCAACTCTCCTTTGGCGGATCATACATTTAAAGGAACATATATGCACACAAACCAACACATATGTTTGCACAAATGATTCATGCACGTACGTTCTGCCTGCCAAAGGCAAGGAGCCCCGCAACTACTTAGCTTATAGGCCTTCCTTCTCAAATCTTATCTATTTCAAACTATTAAGATACAAATAAAGTTTTATATAATTAAAATAAAAAAAATATAAAGCACACACATATTCTAATTGAGTGATTATCAAAAATAAAGTCATAAGAAGGTAAATTTAAAATGAACAAAATCTTATCATGAAAGGTTAGGTCTTTTTATTTGATAGAAGAATTATTGAGATCCAAATAACACATATTTTATTAATTAGGAGATCTTTTAGATGATTACTACTATAGAGTTGTGTGTACTATAAAAATAAATAACAAAAATATAACTCTTCTTCTCAATAAATGTATCCTCTCAAAGAAAAATACCATGATATAATCATTACACAAACATCTTCACTAAGATGTGGCTCAATCAACTAGCATATGCTCCTGCATATCCATCCATTCATCCGGTGCCTCTTTTCTACACATTCCATGCAAAGCTACCTTTTTCTTAAAAAAAGTAACACCATTAATTAATTCTTGCTCTTATATCTTTGATTCTTTTATGCATAAATTACTCTTTACCACTTTCTAGTTTCTCTTTTTTAAAATCTATTCTTTTACATGTTTATTATATTCGAATTAATTCCTAATAAGTATAACACACTAAAAAAATAATAAATATAATTTAAACTAAAAAAAGAAAAAAAGAAAAAAAAAAATAGTAACTAGTAAGTTATCCATTTTAACTGAAACAATAAAATGAATATTATAAGTATTATAGTGTTTTGGGTTTGATTGAAAAATATGAATCCTAGCATATTCTTTATCTTCTTTATCATTCTCATGGTAAACTAAGAGTCTATCTTACTTTTCGAAAACAATTTTTTGAAATACCTTTGTCATTCATCCTACACCGTGTATTGACGCATATATAACATCAAAAAATTCAACCATCTATTTATTATAGTAATGCATAAGTAATACTAAATAAATTACAAAAATATATATAAATGTAAAATATAATTTAACATATTAATTTGTACCTTGTATTGAATATAAATAACAATGAAGATTGAGTGAAAAATTAGAGTTTTAAAAAAAATGAATTTAAAGTGAAAGATAGAATTTTAAAAATACAAAAATAAGGAAGAAGAGGAGGAGAAGGACATTTTAAGAATTTTCTTAAAAAAAGATATAAGAGGTGTATATATTATGAGCCTAATTTTATAAAACAAACCTGACATGTATATTTAAAGTCTAATTTATTCTGACTTATTCTCATCCTTATCGGAAATTATAATTTTTTTTTCTATTCTTAATTAATGAGATTCAACAATGTCAGTTAAAAGTTACTATTTCATACATTTATTAATCCAACTAATGTTGTAGTTAATCCTTAAACTTTAAAGTCTCGAATTCAAGTTTTAAGTTTGATAAAAAAAAATATCTTAGAAGAATAATTTTAATACACTCAATGTCTCCACTGTCAAAAAAAAAAAACTAATCTTAAACAAAGCTGAAGAATATTCTCACTAATATTATAATACCAAAAAAGTTACTATTTAATATAAATTAAAGAGAAATCATGTCTACAAAACACTAGTCAATAATTTTCAGGAAAGTTACTATTTAATAAAAAATAAAGAGAAGTGTCATGTCCTTCGAATAAAGATTGCAACTCATCTTTTGAACCAATAAATATGTAACACTTTTCAATAATCTTAAGTAACATTTTTCTAAATTAAATGATGCGGAAAGTTCATTACACAAGGACAGAAGTAAATCCCTCCAAAATTTAGGTGTAGCTGCATTCATTATACCTTTCTAAAGCTATATACAGCAAAGCACATCTTGAGAGAGTAGTAGTTTTTCTTTGGTTTTTCGTTTGTATTTAGTGCCGGTGGACGGAAAGATCATACTGCAAGGTCAAAATTATATTGACCATGCCATAATTAAATTCATGGACAAAATGTAAGGTCAAATTATTGATAAAAACAGAAAACTAATAGATATAATTTCTGATAATAATTCTTAGCCATGACAACACTTAATTATAACATTGGCTCAATCAAAAAATGGAAATCACATTGGCAAAGCCATGACAATAACAATGTATACATTCTTATCCAAAAAACAATGTTAAAACCAGAAAACCTATTAAAACTCGTCTCATTTTTTTCAAAATTTAATTTACTTAATTATTTTTTAAATAATTATGACAATTTTTTAATTATATTATATTATATTTAAATTAATATATAAGAACTAATAAAATAATAAAATATTTAAAAATTGAAGGCTACTAAATTCTATTTTCAGCAAAACATGCAAAATCCCACTGACATACAGTTAACTTATAGTGAATGATCATAAATTATAAAGAAATAATACCTGTAGAATAAATTTAAGAAAAAACTGATACATTTTTTTTTTACCAAAAAGAGATGATACATTTAGGATCAATACAAATATATTTAATATAAAAGAACCCTAGAAGCATGATTTGCATGAATATAATGGTATTTTTAATTCTTAAGTGAAGAACATGCGTATACACAGAAGTTCATGTAAATTTTTGGTCTGATATTCATAACGTAGATTTTGAATCCAATGGTAATGCTTTAGTGAAATACATGCTAGAAATATACAAATCGCATTCAATATGTACGTGAGATAAACGGAGACAATCATGGCAACTGACGGCAGAACCTAAAGAAATCTTACATTTAACTGCCACATATTCATCAATACACAACATATGGTCTGGGGCATAAATCTTTACAAGCTTCTCGTTGCTGCTTCCACTAGATCTTTCTTTGCGTGACGTAATCGTTGGCAAATAAAGTATTAGTGGAAGAAGCAAAAAGAAGCTAACGGCAAGAACCCGCGCCATGTTTATAAAAAGCTAGTGTTATATTAAAAAAGAATGTACTACCATTGCTTTCATCTTGTATACTCCCTGCTATGTCTTATCTCCTACTTTCCTTCAAAATGTGTGCTGCTGCACTGCACTGCCTCTATCAAACGAGTTAAATCCATTGGAGTTAGCTACCACCCAGTTTAGCTTTGTGATAGTAAAATACAACAAAAGAAGCCAGCAAATTATTTCCACCAAGTAATGCCAATGACAAAACTCTAAACTCGCACAAAGAGAACAGTGTTCTCTACCATCGATTCTTTTAAATCAAAGGTGGAAAAACAACGTTGCTTTTTGTGATTGCAGAGTTGTGGCACTACTATAATACCCTTCCAACTGTAACCAGATTAAATGCCAGTCACTTATTATGCATAGATATAGCATGTGTGTCACCATCTCCCGACCATTTTTTCTTCTGGATCTTTGACTTTTTTGGATCAACAATCTCTAGAGCCCCAAGAATGCATTTGCGGTATGAAAAGTCTTCAACAGTCCCATCAGTTCGTACAATATGGAAGCAGCGGCTATCCTTAAATATAGGATGCCGCCCAACCTGCGAATAGAAAGAAAACGTTATTACACGAAGAAATAGTACTCAGAAAAATAAAGAAGACGCCAACATTAAAGAAATTCAAGAAGTAAATTGTTGGAATGTTGACTTAATTGTAGTCAACCCTAGCCTGCCATAGTTGTGTGATCTCTATGTGAGCTGCCTTAATTGCAGACACGGTGGTATTTAGCCCCATGTCAACAAGAGATATTGTTTAAATAGAGCTTATAAATATTAGTCGATCGTTGTTTTGTGAGATACGGGTTAAGCCAAGCCCAAATTCTATGAGTAATAAAGTCCAAAACTGAAAGACAATGGTAAAATTAATAAAATGAGAACATAATACATTAGATAAAAATTGCAAAATTTGACCCGGCAAGTCCAAAGGAAGAAGACAGAACAGAACAGAACACGGGAGAAAAAAAGTAGTCCAGTAAAGCGTGAAGGAACAGGACGCAACTTTTTGAGTGAATGGTGAAGAAATAAGAGTTTCAAATCCTATTATGTTTCTTATGCAAAAAAATACATGACAATGGGGGCGATATAAAAAACTAAACAACACTATTTCAAGGGTAAAAATGGGATTTTGAAGCCTATATATCATGGTAGCACTGATAGTCTGATATAGCATGCAAAAATCCACTACTTTGGCCACTATTGTGGCCATGATGGATGTATTGAAAACTGCCAAACTATTTGAATCCCGTAGCAGTCGAGGCTGCTCAGCTATAGCACCTCTATAGCATGCTATTAACTACAATGTGCTACTATGGAATGAAATTTCCCAAATAGAAAAGTGAAATAATTAGCTCCAGCCTTTTCAGTTTTCACTTAAACAAACAAGATGTGCAAAGAAAGGTTCCATTCTTATCATGCAATTTAAGGTCAATAAGACTCAAAACAATGACTTCATCTTCAATTTTTTTTTTCTTCAGGGGTATTAGGCATTGTTAACATAGAGTCTGTTTGAATACAATCTAGAGAAACTCTTAAAAGTCCTTATAGGCTTGTATCCAAAAAACATGTTCATAGTGTGAAATCACAGATATGCAGAACTGAAGTTTTAGGTGAAATAGGGAGGAACAGAAATATCGGATAATCTTTTGTGCTAGTATACAAAACTATCAGGTGATAATGTTCAAAAGAAACTGTCATGTAAATAGGTTTGAAAAGTCTCTTGCTATAATTATCATATGCACATAGGTATCAACACCAAATGGACCAGTGCTACATGAGTTTGACCCATGGCATCACTGCTAATCGCACCAAAATTTAGCAGGAAAAAGGAGAAAATTGCATAAGTCTCTGGCTGTAATTATCATATCCGCATAGGTATCAACCAGTGCTACATGAGTTTGACCCATGGCATCATTGCTAATTGCACCAAAATTTAGCAGGGAAAAGGAGAAAATTGCAAAAGTCTCTGGCTGTAATTATCATATCCGCATAGGTATCAACCAGTGCTACATGAGTTTGACCCATGGCATCATTGCTAATTGCACCAAAATTTAGCAGGGAAAAGGAGAAAATTGCAAAAGTCTCTGGCTGTAATTATCATATCCGCATAGGTATCAACCAGTGCTACATGAGTTTGACCCATGGCATCATTGCTAATCGCACCAAAATTTAGTCGGGAAAAGGAGAAAATTGCAAAATGAAAAAAACATTTGGGAGGCAAGGGAAGGGTGTTTGACAAACTCATGCTTGTTTTCATGGCCTCACTGACTGTTGTTTTCAATGATGTATAAATGTTCATAAAAATACCTTTTTCAAAGGAAAAATTTAACTGGAAAATAGAGATAACAATTTTCTTCAGATAAAATATAGAAAATTTCCAAACTCTGAAATTTGAAGTCCGCTACAAATTGTGTTACCCTTAACCACATTAGCAAGAACCAAGAACAAACACAATAAAAGTTTTGACTGCACATCCAAACCTTCATACAAGCACACAATACATGCGTTAAAGCACATTGGCATGAAGAAACAAAATTAATTTTGACCACACATCCAAGCCACCTTCACACAAGCACACATACCTTAATGTCTTGTGGTCCAGTGCCAAACTTCTCACTTCTACGAGGATGAAAATGCAAAACCCTTAGCATTATTGACCTGTCACTCTCACTTAGCAGGTCATCAATCGAATACCTACATAGATAACATCCAAAATTCACAATTATTCTGCAAATCATAGGTCCTCAAACACGGAAAACAATCCTAGACAACCTAACAAAACTGTCTCCAAAAAAATATCCCTCAATTTTGGCAACAATATACAGAAATTAGACAACAATCTGAAATTTTTTTAGAAGGGACCCGATTAATTTTTTTAAAAATATAAAGACTTGTATGAAAACTCAATAAAACAATAGTGACCTAAAAAGTAATTTAACAGGAAACAGGTAAAACCTAGGCCCTTTTAGTTTGAGAAAATGCTTCTTGTTTTTATTTTCACATTTAACTACAATACAAAAATGTCATGTTTTCTGTATTCAAATTTTGTATCAAAAGCATTGAAAATAACTTTCTATTATTTTCTGTATAAATATTTGAAAGAAAAAAAGAAGCAAAATGGAAATAAACACAGGCTACAGGGAACTACTGTACTGGGTAATGTGGTTTAAGGTGAACCACAATATATTTACCGTCAGATTTAATAAAAAATTCAACAGTACAGATGAATTCATTGCAACTGTTTTTACCGATTATGAACAATTTTAATTTTTTACAACATATATTATTTTAAATTTTTTCCCTATAAACCCCATCAACACTGTGATGAAGCAGATCAGACCCTGAACCTCAAACTCGTGTACCCCAGCATCCACATGTGGGCCATGTAGGCTCCGACTCTGAAGCACAGCAAAATGAAGTCGACGATGTTGAGTTGGAACCTCAATAGGGAGGGGAGGACCTCCACGACGATGCAAGTCATGGACTTGGTGGCTAGTTTGGGGCAATGTTTTGTGAGGGAAATGGGGGAGTGAGTTAGGGTTTGGAGGATGAAGGAAACAGTGCTTTCAGAGTTAAATGGTTGAGGGGTATGAAGGGCATATCACTTTATATTCAAAAAAGTACATGTAAAAAAAAGCCTGAAATACTTATTATATCCACTAAAAATGATCCACCTAGCACTTGTCATGGAAATAAGATGGCATATTTATAATTAAAATTGAAAACAAGATAAAAAATAAAAACGTTTTCTCAAATTAAACAAGCCCTAAAAACCTCCTTGAAAAATCCATTTGTAAAAATTATTGCATATCCTGCCCCTAAATCTATCCAAATTAAATAGGAGTTGAGAAGAATTTAAATTGGACAGCCTTGTGGGAACAGAATCTATACTTATCTATACTTATTATAAAGGGGATATATTTTGGTAACCACCCCTTTGGTCTCCACTTTTTAGTGGACCATTATACCCTTTAAAATGTAAAAAAAAAAAAATATTCTTTTATTCTTTCTAAACTTTTAATATTTATTTGTGTGTAATTATTAGAGGCACGAAATCCCTCTAGTAAATAAATAAATGGAACTGTCTTGGCAGTCTCCCCAAAGGCAGGAACAATAATGTATCAAGGAATGCATGTTATTTAAAATAAATAAACCTCACCAAATTAAATCAAGTTCAGTTATATGTTTGCATCTACTGTACAAAAAAATTTGTAACCATTTGAAGTTTTCTATTGGGGGGATAAGGCTTTGTTGTTGATTGTTTAAGACTTTTAAGTTTTTCTATTCTCTTCCAATCTAAAATCTATTACTCATAACTCCCTCAGTAAATTATCCATGTTACTAATTTGCTGTCTTACTCATTTCCTTATGAAAATAACTGACATAAATTGATAGCAATATCTCGGAGAATGTTGCAGTTGGTCATACTTGTTAAAACAAAGTGAAATAGCTACATAAAAAATGAGTTAAGAATCAATTTTCTAGAAGTTAAAGCTAGGTTGAGTGTCAAGGATAGTTTTATATCCCTATCAAGTCTAACGAAATACTTCCATTCAAACAACAGGCACAGTGCCATAAAAACTTCCCCTGGAAGGCAAAGCAGCATTAACTCACTATGCTCAATGAAAAACTATTCTATAATAAAAAAAATAAAAAAGACAGAAGAAAACATAATTAAATGATTATGAAGAAGAATTGAAGAAAGTAATTTTTTGGAAGCAACTAACTGCAAGAAACTTCCATGGCATGATAAAACATACAACCTTCCAGCTATATGATGATATGAAGAAGCAGTAGTTTCATGGAAGTACCTAACTGCAACAAACTACCATGTCATAATAATGACTAAATTATACTTTTAATCCTTTATTTTATTTTTTAGATTCATTTTGGCTCTTTATCCCTTAAAATGTTCATTTTAATTCTTTATCTTTTATATTTGAATTGATTTGGTGCTATTAAAACAATATTAATTTTCAATTTCGCAACACGATTTTGATTCAATTTATGACCAATTTAACACATGAAACTTGTAGCATCAAGTTTACTTATATCAATTATGAAAGCTATAAAATTCAAATCCAAAAGGGTAATTAATAGTGAAAATCATATGAAAAATATATCACACAAGAAATTAAAAAATAGTATGAAATTATTATTATTGTTTATATTTTTCAGTTGCTTTCTGGACTTATTTTTATGTGATTTTCACCATGTTTATAACATTTTTTTGTTTGAACTTCAATTAAATTCAATAATTTTCATATAAGTGAATCTAATTAGACAAATTTAAAATCTTGAATCAGTCAAAAAATGGTTTAAAATCATGCCTCAAAATTGAAAATAATCATTGTTTTAAAAGGAAAAAAATCTCAAATTTAGTGAGTAATGGACCAAAAGTGAACATTTAAAAAAAATAAGGGACCAAAATGAATCTAATCAAAAAGATAAAGAACCAAAAGTATAATTTAGATCCATAATAATACATACAACCTTCCAGCTGTATTATATAATAGTAGTGCATGCTATATTTGGTAATGTAAATGCCATACATAGAATATGCAGCGCTATATACCATTAAAAACATAAATCACATCAGAGCTGAAAAATGGTTATAGGCAGATTATCTTACTTGTTCAATATGCACCTCGATGCAGAAGTCAGCTTCTGAATATCATTTACCGTCACAAAATTTCTTACAACGTTTTTCCACTGTTTTGTCTCTTTCAAGGCATAACCATCTTTATGCCTAAATTCAGAACCGCATTTGTCAGATGAATAGTTGAGAGAATGAGTACCAATCTTATTGTTCAGCTTGTCGAAACTGGCTTCTAGAAGGTCATATACGTCTGCAGACTTAGCTACCTCATGTCCCTGATAAAAGCAAATGTTAGACTATTATAAATGGCAGTAGTATTACGTGTAGAGCTTGCAATGTACAAGATAAATTTGCTCCATATCAACCCTCAAACTTTTCTAGTCTATCCTTTATCAGCACACTAAAAAAATCTCACCACTTATGCACTTGCTTTGTTGCAAGAGAAATCATAACCAAAGCAAATTTACTAGGAACAACCAAATAGCACGTATAAATTAAAAATGACAATTGGAGACACAAAAGCAATACATGTTAACAATCTTGTGTCTTAGAAATCAGTTTAAAGTATGCGTTACAAAGGTCTGCACTTGAACAGGGAAAAAGTTTATATGAAAGCCAATAATAACTACAAGAAGGAAGCTGCATTCTTGTGAAAAGTTGGTAAACAGTTTTGAAACTGAAGTGAAATGTTTCATAACCAGTACATGAAAGCCATATCAATTTTCTATTAAAAAACACAAGGTGACACTTTTAGGGCACTGAAACGCACTTGTACATTCTTAGGTTCTTTAAAAAATGGAATCATATTTGTCACACATTAAATTTGAACAAAAGCAAGAAGTTTAATAGATAAGAAAACCAATAACTTCACCTTCTCAGAATATACGATATCAAACAGTCCACTTGTCCCCATAGATGGACAGTTTCCCCAAGCAAACGAATCTATGCTGCCCTGGAGATTATCCATGACTCCAGACTTGGCAGCTTTTATAAAGCAACCACCTGGATTCTGCAACAAGATTCCATAACATGAATTATATAGGTGAGCAAAATCTTATCACATGATAAATCATAAAGCATTTGACTGGAATCATAAGTGTGAAAACTGACAGAAAAGCATGCTTGCACAAATGGTGATGAAACAGACGCATGTTTTCTTTGCTTTGCCATGCCTTTAGCATTTAATCCCACAAACTCTCCACTAGCTGACAGACTATTGGCAACAAGACACAGATGCTTACAAAGGATTGACTTGCCAGTATCAGATGTTGCAGATGCCAAACTCTGCATGTAAAACCATAAGCAAGTAAACTAAATATTCATGGCCATATATTTCATTTAGAACCTAAAACAAAGGATAGAAAGTTTTTAATCATACACACATTGAGAAAATATTGCCACCCTGCATCAATTCCATAGGCTGATGAGAAATGATTTATGTTGTCTGGGTGACTTCGCGTCCAGTCAATTATCTGTGTTATCTTGTGACAGTGAATTTTGAGTACACCCCAGAATCTTCCACTGTTACCCTCACTGGACATAGTAACCCTCAAGTACAGTTCACCAGAAGAACTATGATAAGAATTTGTTGCTTTTGACATATTATTCCAGAGAATATCAACCTTCTTGATGTCCAGAAATCCTAAAGAACATTTCAGGAACTTGTGATGATAACTGAATATGAGAATATTTTACCATAACAAGCAATGCATATCAGTGCATGTTGAGCCAAATGTAGTAGAGCGGGAGTAAAAATCAAATTTGTATATGGAAAAAAAAAGACCATTCTTTATGACCTGGCAATCTGATTAGGTTAAAAGCTATCTTGCTCTCACAACTCTATGCTTTTTATCCCATTCCCCAAAAAAGAAAAGGATTAAAAAAACACTTTTTAACTCCAGAAACATTTGTAAAAGCCAAAGAAAGTGTAATTTTTTTGTAACAAAGAAAACTTTAACTGTCATGTATGCATCAAAAACATAATCTGAACTTCAACAACTTAAGAAATGCCCCAGCCATATATCTGCTCATCGAGGTAATTTCTAAAAGGCTCACATATAAATCAACACTTGAAACAATTACTACCAACCTTTTATAGCTGTTCCTAAAAGAAAAGGTAACACCGAGTCTCGAACCGAATCCAGTTGTATAGGATTCTTAGAGTTTTCAACAATTGTGACGGTGATGCAATCATCACCTTCTTTATCAATAGAATTGTCTTCACCTTCTTCAGCCATTGAATCAGCAGAACACTTCCTGAGATTTCATTGTCCAAGTTAGTAGGGATTGGTAAAGCTCCAAGCAAGAATGATAATTATTGCAGAAAAAGTTAGAGATAATGCAAGTTGTGTATTATTATAACTATTGTACAGAAGAAGAGACTCATTGAGGCACAGAAGATAATTAAAAAGGGATGGTTGGACAAGAGCTTCAACATGGTCCTCAACGTAAAAAGAAAACATAGCAATAATGAAATCGTAGTGAAAAACACCAATTTAGGAAGTCACCCAATCCTTCAACATAAATGTAAAAGATTTAAACTGTATCATACTTCTATCTAGCACCCTTTACATTTCAGTAGGTATTAAGACATGAAACGTTAGTATTCCTTATACACAATTGTAACACAGTATTCCTCTTCTTGAGAAGAGAGCAGTCCAACCATTTGCAAACTGGCAGAAGCAACTTTAATGTAAAAAGAATAGCAAATTCATCATAATCAGCTACAATAAAAATAACAGCTCTGGCCATTCTGTTAAGGCTATATATATTTATGCTTACAGAAAGTTCACAAACTTTTTTCCAAATGTAGAAAACCATTTTTTTCATTTCTTACGAGACTAAAAAATTATAGTCATAATTGGTTTTTCCCCAACATAATAATCTATTTAAATTTTAATCAGCATCAGACTTTTCTTTCTTGATCAAAATTGCCAGTAATATAAAAAAGTCTAAGATGTGCAATACTGAATCATTGTTTTAGAATATCTAATTTGTCTAACTTCATTTCTAATTTTCAAATCTCCATTCTCAACTTTTTCTGTTATCCGAAAAGCTCTTTAATTTTGTAACAAATTCTAATAATTGTATCAAAGTCAGAGGATTTCAGTTCTACATTAGGGCTTTGGCAAAATTATAGCAAGTATTAGCCTATTAGGGATTGCATAAAAATTTGGTGGGTCGATAAGTGCTGTTGATAACAGTAAGGAAAAAGGTACATTCAAAAAGCAAATACAATTACACAAGTGGCAATAATTGAAGCAACAAAAAACATTCTGGAATCATGGCGTAATAAATATACAGGAAAAACATGCCTAGATGAAGTTTATTGACTGTCTGTATTAATAGTTAAATATCATTTGCCCTTCAAGCACAGCAAACAAACATAGAACTCTGAATAGAAGACAGTAGTAGAAATCAGTATGATATGATATAAAACATCAATTTTTTATAGCATTCATGGACAACTAATATTTCCCCAAGTAACAACAATTATTGTTTGAAAAACCATAACAGATGAAACTTACTTGCTTGATATTTTCAAATTGGTAAAATAAACTTTTGATTCTTTTGTCAGGGAGTAATATCTCTGGTAAAGAGAGTCGATGATAGAATGCACTTTCAACTTTCTTCTCGTTACAATTTCCTTGTCTAAATGAAAGTGGCAGACCCAAGGACTGTATTTTTCTAGGCTGCTTCTGTCATGTGGGGTGAATATTATCATTACCGAAGAAACAATGCTTGAGAACAACAATCTTTCCAAATAATTCTTAACTTCTAGAGCTGCATATTCAAACCCATGTCTCTGTTTACCAAGCTTCTCAGACAAAAATAAAGATACAGTCTGGTCACCATTTTTTTTCCTTGAGCCACACTCCAGAACATTTTTCAAATTTAGTAAAGGCGATGTTTCAAGTAGACTAACTGGTTGACCCAAAGCACTGTATGCAGCTTCAGAAATCGCACAAGCAGAAAGTGCCCCAACTGGTTCACCACCAATAGTGTACTCTTGGAAACTTTCATCACATGAAGACTCCTCCTCAATATCATAAGAAAACTGAACTAGTTGATTACCATACAAATTTCTTACTGTTCCATCGTATGCATTATACAAATCACGCATGAAGAACATAAGTCTACGCGTCAATGTTCCAGGAAGATCTGCATTGTCACTGAAAGAGCTATCACGATTTGTAACTGAATGAACGAAACATTCAAGTGGATTCAACCCGGTTAAAAATGAGCTTTCAACCACAGCATATGGAATGTAAGACTGAACAGATTCAAGGGTACCAGAAAACAACTGGAGTGAATCAAGCCCCTTTAGACTATTCCAAGCAGTACATGAAAGATGACGGGGTAGTCTGTATGACAAGCGAACCAGAGAATTTTGCAGGCCAAGGCACATGGAATGTTGCACTAATTTCACCAAATTACCTTTGCTTCCAGCCTTAATCATAGCAAGGAAAGTATTGTTCTTACATCCATATTTATCAGCTAAACTTTGAATATTGCGAAAAACTTGTCTAAAAGCATCAACTGACACTTGACTGAGAGTAGCAGATATTTGTCTTTCATAATTCAGACGATCTGCATCAACAGTCATAGCACTTTCACTCTCTTGAAGACTTCCTGACAGAAAATCACAATAATATTCCAACAATAGCTGCTTGAAATTGCATGCCTTTTCTGCATCTTGTATGCCATAAGTGATTTCCTCCATCATGTTTTTTCGTGCATAGGAATCAGAAGAAAGGTACAAATCTGAGAGTGAAACACTAAAACCTGTCATAGACAGCCACTCACAGAGAACTTTCTGCGCAGCATACAAAAAGTCCAGAGTCTTCCCTTGAAAATGTTCCACAAGACTCTGGAAAACATTGCAATCAGAATCACGTAACCAACCAGAAGCCTCAGAAGAAGATACAAGCTCCCCGTCACTCACAACAACACCATCTGAAGGAAAAGAGTAGTCAAAATCAGAAGGCAAGAGCATGCTGAACAATTGCTTTCCACTCCAAAATGCACTATTGCATGAAGGAGCTTTTACAAATGCAGGAGGTGTTAATCTTTTGTTACAAAACATTTGTAGTTGCTGCATTTGGTAAACATTCAAAAGGACCCCATCTTCCATTAGCAAATATGCGGCGGTTAAACTATCCTGAGAGAGAGAAAGTAGATTTCTACCACTCTGCCCATTAATCAATTGCCTATCTAAAGCAACCAGCTCATTAAGTTCAACTCTTGCACTAACTGATTGTGGAATATACCCATGAAGGCAATCACCATCAAAATCCCCACGCAGTGGGGAACAACAGAGTGGATTAATACACACTACAGAAGATATAGGAAGGACCCTAACTGTGAGAGCAATCATAGAATGTTGGTGTATGGAAGGGGGCCTATTTATGAGCACTTTATCCCCATCAGTAAGAGGCCTATAAAATATGTCTCCGACTTGTAGATCTTCCTTTTTATATAGAAGAACTGAACTACCCTTTCTGCTGACATTTATCTGTCCCTTCTCTAACAAACGTAGCTCACAACAATAAAGCAGCTTTTCCTTATTCTGCCTGTTCACATACTCAGAAACCTGCAAACTTTCGGCAATTTGACAAGGTATACCAATTTCACTAAGCTCAAGATCCGGATCACCAACAACCACAGTACGGAATGTACTATCATTGCGTTTTCCAAGAACCACATCTTTTATCCATCTTAAACCAGAAGAATTGAAAGCATTTTCTGCAACCTTTCTTTGCTGGATATCAGCAAAAATACTAGTTGGTGTTTTATCAGGATTGAGCTGCATTTCAAAAGAAAAATCATGAGCAAAAGGGAAGAACCTTGACAATGTGACAAAAAGATAACAAAATTAAAATAAATAAAAAACAGCTGATCATCTTGCCTTAGAGATCCTCAGGCAGTCCAAAACACGTGAACCTAATTCATTGGTTGTGCCCCTGAAATCAACCAATTTCTTACAAGATCGAGTCCTGTCATCCTAAAAGTATTTAAGCAGATAAAGAACCATTTAAAAAACATGGATATCAAGGGACTACATGTGACAACATAAAGGCAGAAAAGTAATATACTTACAAAACTCAATCGGTTTCCATTGGAAATTGCATAAGGGACTTCAGTCACCCGATGACAATTTGGAGTCACCGGGAAGCAATCAAGAGAGAGCAAATTCTTTCTTGGAATATATTTTTCAATAATGTTTTGATCGACATCCTTCAACAAAGAAAAAACCTGAAAGTAAAAAAGATAAAAAAAAAAAATTTACACCAGTATAGCACCAGCCAAAAAGCATGACTAGGTAATAGAAATGACTCTAACAAACTTGGGGACCTTAAAAAAGGGTGTTCGTTTTCCAATTGTAAGAAATGGGAAATACGATAATAATCAGGCTTAGTTTTCCATTCAATCCAAAAAAAAAAGTATTTAAGGAAATGGAAGGTCACAATAATGTTATTAATACTATTATAGTTGTCAATCCCGAACTGCAGAGTGGAGAGCGGGATGACCGCTATTCTAATATTATATATATATATATATATACACATAAGCTCAAAAACAGTAAATAGCTCAAAATTAATGCATTAAACATTTTCAATAATAAAAATTCATAGTACTTAAATAAAACATAAAACCTATGAAGTCTAGATACTTAGTACGACATGAGTACGATACGACATAGATACATGGATACACAATTTTTTTAAATTTAGCATACAATATGTTTTGGATACATTAATAAAATATTATAGAAAAATTTATATAGATATATAATATTGGTAAAGAAAGAGACATCAATTCATAACTATGATTATTACAATTTACACAAAAATATTTGTGATCGTAACAAAAAATATTCCTTTTGCCCATGCGAAGTTAACAATAATGATAAAAACATCTTTGGTAGAACTTAAAACTAATATTGATTCTATACAATAGCCTATGACTCAAAAACATCATTGTTAAATTACTGTTTAATGCTAATTGTACCACTCTACTCCCCTTTTACCATCATCTAGAAAAAACATAGTTTCAAAGTTTGGTTTATCAAGAAACAACTCTGCTAATTCAATAAGTTTAATATCATCATCAAGTGGATGATGTATATCTCTACCAGTGTCTCACAACCTAGCCTCTCATTTTTTATACCCTTCATCTTTCATAGACGAAAGTTGAAGGTTGAAATGCTCATAAACCAAATATTCTACCCTTTTGGATCCATTTTGTTTTTCTTCAAATAATAAATAAAGGATTATGAACTTCAATTCCTTTTACAGCATCACAAAAAAACATGATTGTACAAAAAGTTTAAGACAAGGTGGAAACTTTTCAAATGCATATATACTATCTAGAAGTATCTGAGAAAAAAGATTAAAAAATAAATTGGATACTTTTTGGTTACGTATTAGGAGGTATCCTAAGAGTATTTGTATCCGACACCCGTACAACACCGATACTTTCCCATTTTTGGAGTATGTAGGCTTCACAGCTTAAAACAGAAAGTCAAGGAAATAAAGTGTTTAAAGCCTTAAATTAATTGTAACTTAAAATGTTCCCTGAACTATAATAATTAAAAATAAAAACAAATAAAAATAAAATTTATCTCAATTAGGCCCATCAAACCAAACCAAAAATGGAGAAATATATATACATATTTGGGCCCATTGCCCAATTTTCCCAACCCTAATTTGTTCAATGTCACCCTAAGACCCTAGCAGCTAGGTGATCTGCCCCCCTTTCCTCTTAGAAGATTCAATTGTCAGAGAGTTGCTGGGAGAAGAAGATAGAGTCATCAGAGAAGACAAATATGCAGGAGAGCCACCAAAGAAGATAGGGCAGCGGAAAGAGAGTTGGATCAACGATGCACACTAGGTCGATGAAAATGCTCAAAGGGAGAAAAAAAAACACAAAAAAACTCAAAGTGAAATACAAAAATAGCCTCATTAAGTAAGAGTATTTTCAAAATTTTGCAAGTTGCCCCAGACTCGCTCTACACCACCAATTCCCAGCTACTCCAGTCTCAACATTGAAACACTATGCAACAGAATCACTGTAGTGGTCGTGCCCCGATAGAGGCTGCTACAACCGTTATTGACAACATAGTTTACAACGACAGAGGATGATACTAAAGGTCAGGACAAAATTAGATTCCGTACTGAGTAAAGTTTAAAAGATAGCCCAACAAGAGCAAGAAACATAAAAATTTGCAGCATTGCTTGGTGTGCTGTTCCACATTAACAATGAAAAGGCATAAGGGCTTCAAAAACAATAATGCAACTATCTAGCTTACCCAGCATGTCTAAAAATTGTCATATTGAGCCTAGGTCTGGTATCAAAGAAGAACTGTAACACATTGCAGAGAGAAGCATCAATTTATTTCCAACAAACATGATCCATTGTAGGAATATCTTGGGCTTGTTTAACCAAGTGGTTTTCCCAGCCTTGTCCTTAGAACAGTTGGACTGCCAGCAACAGACCAATTAGCATGATTAGCATCTCCCATCAACTTCTCACATGGAATGAAGGGACAGTGGTAAAACCAATTGCAACAAAAGAATCAGAAGTGGTTCCTGCTCTCAAGGAGAACATACTGTCGTAGGGTGTAGAAAGGGTGGAATAGGTTCACACCGGAGAGTGGACAATGGCTGGGGAGGATCACCAGCTACACAAGGCCACTAGAAAAGGGTGATGGATGCACATACCAGGAAGCTAGCAGTGCATGGAGAAGACACACCGACAAGGAGAGAGCAGTAAGGTGACTGTAGTGGATGGGCCAACAGTGGGAGGGAAGTTGCAATATCTGCTCCTGGTCTTTGGTGGCAGAGCGACAATTGGTGGTGCAGCAAAAAAAAAAAAAACAGACCAAGGAAAGGCATTGCTACTGTTTCACTAGGGTTAGGGCTCCTAGTTTGGAGAAATCAGGGCCAGCTATGTAAAGATATTTTCCTAGACTAATGATACCATAACATATTAGGTTCTGGTATCTGTGTCTAATCAAACCATGCACCTACATATTTATAAACAATGTAATAATTACAAGTTTACAACAATAATGTAATTTGCTAATTCTAAGACAATCAATCCATTAATCATTAATATGTATATTTTTAAATGTGCTTTATTGCTAACCAATACATACACCAAGTAACTAAAAATTACAAGTTTGAATTCAGTGCAAGTCTTCGTTATTTTGTTTGCAATTGAATCCTATTCAAGATCAAATATATAAGCATATCTTTATGATCCAGATCAAACAATTTCTATACAATTATAGTACCTAAATTTAAGCTTTGAAGCAGCATGGACATTAGAGGCAATAATAAGCAGTCAAGCTGAAAATAGAACATATTCCCATCTTTAATCATATATAACATGATATAATTATAAGATTATGGAGCATACTATTACTAGTAAACTTCTAGCAAACTATATTAAAATTTGATATAGCGCAAATTTGTCATATCCAAAAGAAAATTATATATAACAGGAAAAAGTATGCAAAAGTGGGAAGTAATACCTGCCCAGGTGATAAAACCCTTCTATTTACATAACTTTCTTCTTGTTGAGCATCATAAGGAATAAAATCCCAATAATCAGCAGGCAGTCCTCGCCCTAAAGTTCTCTTCTTTGAAGCCTTATCATTTGCTTCAACAATAATTGCAGTTCTTCTAAAGAGATCATTGGAGGAAACTCTAAATTTCATTGTTGGATATCGACCCATACCATTTCCCTGTTTGATGCACAAATTGTCATATAAAGGAAAACAACAGCATAATAAAAAAGTTAAAAGGAAATTTACTTTGAAGCAAATCAATGAAGGTGAAGCCACAAACTTACAGAACAATATTTGCAACCAATACCAAAGATTAATTTAGCACCCTGTAAGAAGACAATGGAGCTATCAAAAGGCAGCAGATAATAAGTAATAATAAAACCCATACAGGCCAACACATATAACTGAAAGAATGAAACATGCCAAGAAAATAAATGTTAGAAATTTTCTTGGATTAGTTGAAGGCGAAGACCACGGGTATGTCATATTGTAATACAGCACGTGGAATTTCTCAAATGATGTCTGATTGTACTTTAGAACACGGTGTAACTTAGAAAGTTGGGAAAAATAGGAAAGATTTTAAAAAACCTAAAAAGTTGCCATATGATCTAAATGTGTGTTTGTTTTTTTTAACTTATTTTGAAGAAATAACTGCTCAGTTTTCCAGTTTAACGAGAGAACTTCTGAAATAAATTACTATTGTTAGAAGTTGAGTTGTTCCCAAACAAGAATTGAGCATCTCATACCAAGAGGAAAGGTCTAAACTTCAAAATTTCTTTTTCATGCCCAGTTGTCTTCTTTACTCAAGCTAAACTGGTTATTGGATTAACTCTAAAGGTGGACTTTTCAATTAATGGAACAGAACATAACATAACAGGTGCAGATGGGTGAGGAAGGGAAGGAAATTAATGAAACAAGCATACATTCCCTTTGAAAGATAGGGAACAAAACATAACTTCATTACACCATTGTTTGGAGTTAAATTATAAAGGATCAGAGAATAATTTTAATTTTTAACTCGATTACAATTTTTAGTACCTCTATTCTATCAATTTTTGGGGAAATAAAAATTGGGTCATTGAGGAGAATTGAAGGGGAACAAAACCCCTTGAATCCATTTCCCTTATTTATTTTTAAACTCCAAAGTAAGGGAATTTCTCGCCCTTCCCCGTGTTCCTTTTTGTTCCCTCATTATCTGTGGTCCGAAGAAAAACATAAGGAAATGGTAAAATATTTCAAGTTTATGAACAATTAACTATTCAACAAATTAATAAAGTTCAAAGGGCGGCTAAACAGTGACTGATTAATAATGACGGAATCTTTGATCTTTTGGTATATCCAACAAAGAAACCCTTTAAAAAAATCATGAGCTACATATATACAAAAAAGGCAAGACAAGTGAATCAGTAAAGGAAACTATTTGTTATGCAAAAGAGAAAATAAACAAATGAAAAAATAACATTAAATTTGGTACTTTTTCAATGAATGAATAAAAAGAAACAGTTTAACTTTTAGTTCATTTAAATTATATTGTTTACAGAACAAATATAGTTCATTTTCCCTCTCTCACAAAGCGAGAGGCAGAGTGAAGTAGAACAGATGGTAGGTACCATATTGATTCAAAACTTAGTTCTGGATATAAATGTCAAAGATGAAGTTCTATACTTAAAAAGTATTTTGAACATTAAATTAAAGCCCTGATGCTTGACCCGGTTAGTATCATAAAATATTACTCAACCACCGTTTTGATGCCTGAAGAATATGAGTGCTTCATTTAAAATTTTCTATTAATTGCATTAGATAGATAAATAATTTACATGCCACATGTAACTCCCGCTCAAAATAGAAAGGAAAAAGAGTGGAAATCAGTCTCCAAGAGAAATTGTGCATGCACATTTGCTGAAGTGAACTCTCATTATTCCAGAGCAAATAGCAATTATTTGCATGACCATTTTAGAGGCTGAAACTGTCTATAGATGTTTAAACAGACAATAAATCAAATAAAAACATCTGTAATTAGGTGTCTAACACGCATTAATAAGATAACATTCAGTCCATTGTCAATAGAAAATTGTTTACAATGGCAATAAACATCATTGCACAGCAGTTTAGTACTGAGGTTTCATTTCAAGCTTTTAAAGAGGTTGCACCACAGGGATTGGAGATATTATGAAATTATTTGCCATAGCAGTGGACCAAAACCAAATCTGAGTTGTAATAAATAAATAGTCAAACTAGGCATATAAGTATTTGGTAGAAGTAAAAGATATCTGACCTTGGATTCATGACGAATAGATTTACAAACAGGGCAAATCCTGTTCAAGATTTGTGCAATCTCTGACATAAAATATGGATGGAGTATGGAAAAAGGAAATCTGATTATTCCAAAATGACCTGAAATTAAATATTAATGTTTTTGGCATCTTTTCTAATAAATTTACAATCATCATAACAGAATCCATAAACACGTTTTCCAAATAATATCTTCATCCACACCTTCACACATTTTTTTCTCTTTCGAACCACATGTTGCACACTCATCAGATTGATTTGGAAGTCCCAAACTTGAACAAGTGACCTGACCAACTGCCTCTATCTCCAAAACAGATATTTTCTCCTGTAGATGTAAAACAAATTAACATTTAATATGTGGTTAATAAATTACAAGGCAATAAGAAGAGAATTTGGATTGGTAATCCATTATGTAGAATAGATTTATCTTTTAACGGGTAAACAAAATTGATAAATCACTCTACACAGTGTTACCCAGCAAGCGCAAAGTAAATGTGACAAACCCTAAACCCAGCAAATCATAACCATTTGATCCAATTCCACAACTAAAGTAAATGTGAACTAATACACAGAATAATTAAAAAGCTGAAATAGATATAAAATCAAGAATATACTTAACTATATCTTCTTTAGTTAGGACATCAAACTTTATTGCTTTTATGACACCAGATGGCGCTTTGTGCTTATGGAAAAGATCATCGTCCATGGAACTTGGTAACCTTGCACTCCGAAGAAATTTTCAAGTAGCCTGTTCATTTGCAGAGTATTTATAGTGCATAAACAGAATGAGATCAAAGAAAGTGACTGATTGAGTGAGTAAAATTATGCATAGCCATACTGTCTAAACCTCAACTTGTATGTTTGATAACTTAAAAAAAATAAAACATTTAAATCAGAATATAAATACATTTTTCACAACATTCCTACGTTTAGTTTTCAACAAAATTCCACAAATTAAGCCAATTAAGCAAAAAACAAAAATACATAAAAAGAGGAAACAAAATTGGAAAGTGTGAAGTAGTAATTTGCTTCAGTTAGTATAAAACTGAACAAGTTAACTTTACTGTTGCATTGACTTGTATTTGAGTCATATAAGCTCATATGAATGCTTAACCAAGAAGTTTCTCAACTTTTTCGGTAGTAAATTTGAAAAGACATGTATGATGTGCACCCAATGCCTACCAAATACAAGTCAAAAAATCAAATATCAAAGGTGAACCAAATTATTGATAGAAAGGTTTCTGAAAACATATATTCATATTGAAAAATCATTAATGTAGGACACACTGAATTTCCTTGAGAGAGAAATTCCCTGTAATGTGTTAAATGTCCTTGAGCAGATAAAGACAGGAAAATTCCAAATTGATTGAATTTTAAACTGTAACTTTGGGAGGCAATAATTGTTTGAATTTAAAACAATACTAAAAGACCTTAGCAAAAGTATATGAACTAATACCAAAAAGGGTTGGGCACAGTGATAAGCTGTGCTCCCAGTCGTTCCAGTAAAACACCACACCTGTACCAAGAAATTCGTCTAGCACTCGAACAATTTCAAGATAACCTGAAAAAAAGTATATATTAACTTAATGCCATGGGCAACATTGAACATGTCATTCACCCTAAAACATTAAATCGGATACGAATGATGGAGCAACAACAATATATGAGGTAATACCAGAACGGAGCACAGTGATAAGCTGCGCTCCCTGGTTCGTTCCAGTAAACACCACAGATGGACGAAGAAATTTGTCTCACGCTCAAACAATTTCAAGATAACCTGAAAACAAAAAATAAAAAACAAAAAAGCTATGAGTATATAATAAGCCAAAAAAACACTTTAGTATATAATAAATTAATGTCATGAAGAACATTGAACATGCCATTCAGCCAAAAACAGTAAACCGAATACAGTAATCAAATGAGGGAGCAACGATGGTACAACGAAGCTACCAATGAAACACGCATAAACACAGACACCTGGTTATGAGCAATAGTGATTATTAAGTAAAGGAGATTTGTTACGGATAGAACCATCAAAATTTATTAGTAATGAGTGAAAAGGTCAAGGTACATTGCCGCAAATCCATTCTGGAACCCTCTAATAGCACGATCATGTAACATGCAGCAAAAGAATCGTGCGCATTTTGCCACACGCAAATAGAGCGATAAAAGAGTTTCAGGAAACAGGAAAAAGATTCACCGGTCGAAAAGCGATCACAGAAGAGAAAGAGAGAGAGACTGTTACTCGCATGAATGAAAGGAATGAATGATCGACTTACGAAGCACGCAGCCACTGGTGAAGTGAGCTTCGGTGCAGCAATGCTCAACGGAAAAGCGAATTGAAGTGTGTGATAGTGCGCCGTGAAGAGCCAAATAAAACGCCGCCGGTCACTTTCTGAGTGACCACGAGACAAACGCCGAGCTCAGAAGGCACTTGTGGAGACCCAGGCCGCGAGAAAAAGGTTAGTCACTGTGCTTTTATGGCTCATGTCTCTAGGTTATATATAACCCTCGCCTTTGCTTTTATTTTACGCCTTTACCCTTTTTAATTCAATAAATTATTAAAGTTGTTGAACAAATTATTATGTAGTCTAAAATCTCCGTGGTCCATTAACTTATGTATGCCACCACATAATATTTGTTACATAAAGATTAATAAGAAGTTCAGAGTCGTGATAGTAACTACTAATCTATGTATGTGGTAACATAAAATATTAATATTATTGCGCAATTATTTTTAATCTTATTTTGGTAAATGAACAATTTTCTTTAATTTATAATAGTCTTTTTTTATAAAAATGCAATTTTTAAGAAAATAATAATTATAAAATAAAATATAAAAATAATTTTATTAATATTTATTAAAATTATACACATACAAATACACGCATATATATATATAGAGAGAGAAAAAAAATGTATATTATAATAATAATATTTTTATGTAATAATATCTCAACACTTGCATTAAAATAAGTGTCTTGGATTAAAGGATTACAGATAAAAATTATCATGTATTGTTATTATCATTGTTATTATTAGTACTATCTCTATTAGTGTCGTTGGCAATAGGTATAACAACATTGATTGTAGCCATAATGAAAGGGTGAGTGAGTTAGAAAAAATTAGAATATTAATTTAATAAGTGAGACCCAAGATATATTGTAATGAATATTTTAATTCCGACCCTTTATTTTAATCTAACAATGGAGAGTAATAGTTTTCATTCTCACGTAAAAATGTTATTCTCATAGTATAGGTCCAATATATAGAGAGATGAGACATCCATTTATTTTAAGAATAAGTCTTGAATTTTATCGATAATTTTGAAAGTAAGTTTACATTGCCTTACTTTATTTATTAACTCATATTTTATATCAAATTTTAATAATTCAATTTTTTTATTTAAAAATTTAATGCATAAATCAAACCTATAAATTTAAAAAAAAATTAAAAATTATTAGATATTTTATTTTATTAATTTAAATTAACGTATAAAATATTTTTATAATATGTTTTGTTCAGGAATTTAAAAGGAATAATTTATTTATAAAAAAAAATTCAAATGCCTTGAAGTGAAATGTCTTATTTGAATAAAGAATTTTAAAGAATCTAAAATTTAAACATTGGTAAAATTTCTTAAAATAGTAAAATTTAAAATTCTTTCAAAAGAGTAAAAATTGAAATTATTCATTTATTTTATTATTCTCTCTTTTGTCTCTCATATTTTCTTTTGTTTCTCTTTCTTCCATCTCCCATACTTTATTTTCTATCTTTGTTCTCTTCTTTCTCTTCTTTCCTTTTTTTTTTCTCCTATTTTTTTATCTATTTTTTTTCCTCCCTCTTTCTCTCCCCCCCCCCCCCCCCCCCAATTTTCTATTTCCTCTTCATCTTTCCCTCTTTATATTTTCTCTTTTCTTTTTTATTTTTTCTTTTTCTCCAATATATCTCATCTCTTTTTCAAAGTTGACATAAATAATATCAATAATTTTTAGTTATTAAAAATTTAAAAATTGTTTTAATTATTAAATATTATATAATATTAATTTTCAAAACTATTAAACAATTAAAAATTGGATAGTATTTATTTTTATAATTTTTAATCTTAAAATCTCAATATGTGTGTGCATATAAATCAATTTTACCTATGTTAAAATCAAATTGCCGTATCCAAATTAAGAATTTAAAATTTAAGATTTTTAGGGTTTAGTTTATCTAAATAAAATATTTGAAGAACGATGAAAATTAAAATAAAAGTAATTCAATTTTCTTGAATTTCTAAAATTTCTCATCCAAACACATCATTATAATTATTGGTTAATTTGAATTAATAAAATAAAGTATCAAATAGTTTTAAATTTTGTTAAAAAATTAAAAATTTAATTTATGCATTAAGAACTTTTAATTTAGCAATTAGATTGTTGAAATTTGATATAAAAACATTAGTTTTTGAGTGAAATAAATCTAAGTAAACTTACTTTTGAAGCAAGTATATCCCTCATCCTCTTTCTATATATATAATACACACATATATATAAAGAAGGGATCAAATGACACCAATATAACTTTTACATACTATTACACTGCTCAATAACTTTATATTAAGTGTGAATTTTTTAAAATTTATTGTTAGATTGAAAGTTTTATACTCCTAGATCATACATAAAATATTATATTAATCCAAGATGATTTGATACTTCATCTATATAGAACAAAATTAATATAATATATAAATTTTAAATTATACTAAATTATGAACAATTTGATTACCTCTGTTCATTTTTAACAAAATTTGAAATAAACATTCAATGAGGCATGGAGATATAATTCAACAATTAGATCAACAAAATTTGATCTAAACTAATTCTTTCATGTTCTATCATATTTTCCCTTTACTTTTTATATATAACATCTCTCCGCATTCTATTTAATCTAACTCTCATTTTCCTATTATCTAATTTTTATTTCATCATCATCATAAAAAGGTATTACTTTTTTTTCTCTCTTCCTTTTTCTTTTCTCCTCTGCCCTTTATTTTATATATTTGTATTTTATCTAATCTATCTTTTATCTTATTTGTTTAAATTTTATCTCACATGATAATCTTTGTCCGATATAAAAGGTACTACTTTTTTTTCTCCTCTACCTTTTATATTACATATTTATGTTCTATCTAATCTATCTCTTACTCTCTTTGTTTATTTTTCAGTTCACATGGTAATCTTTGTCATAAATGAATGTTTTCTTCCTTTTTTTGTTCAACCCTTTATATTACATATATTCATATTTTATCTAATTTATTTCCTACTTTCTTTATTTAATTTTCATCTCAGCTGAGAGTTATACTCCGTTACGTCGACATGTCATTATAAAACTAATTTTATATGTTGTCATGTTATCATATTTGTCTATGTGACAATTTCTCTAAACTAATTCTTTAAACTCCCAACTTCTATCATATTTTTTTCTTTACTTTCTATATATTATATATCTCTGCAAATCGAGTTACACTCTATTACGTCAACACTTTATTATAAAATTAATTTTACATGTTGCAATGTCAACATGTTTGTCTATGTGGCAAATTCTCTAAACTAATTATTTAAACTTCTATCTTCTATCATGTTTTCCCTTTACTTTTTATATATTACATCTCTTTGCATTCTATTTAATATAACTTTCATTTTTCTATTGTCTAATTTTTATTTCATCATCAGAAAGGTACTACTTTTTTCTCTCTTCCTTTTTCTTTTTTCCTCTATCCTTTATATTATACATTTATGTTCTATCTAATCCATCTCTTATCTCTTTGTTTAATTTTTATCTCACATGACAATCTTTACCAAAAATAAAATGTACTACTTTTTTCCCCTTTTTTTTCTATCTTTTATATTACATATTTATGTTCTATCTAATCTATTATTTACCCTATTTGTTTATTTTTCATTTCACTTGACAATCTTTGTCAAAAATGAAAGTTTTCTTTTCTTTTTTTTTTCTCCTCAACCCTCTATATTACATATTCACATTTTATCTAATTTATTTCTACCTTCTTTATTTATTTTTCATCTCAGTTGAGAGTTACACTATGTTACATTGACACGTCATTATAAAACTAATTCTACATGTTGTTATGTCAACATATTTGTCTATGTGAAAAATTCTCTAAACTAATTATTTAAACTTATATTTTCTATCATATATTTCCCTTTACTTTTTATATATTACATTTCTCTACAAGTCGATTTATACTCTATTACGTTAATACATTATTATAAAACTAATTTTACATGTTGTCATGTCAGCATATTTGTTTATGTGGCAAATTTTTTAAACTAATTCTTTAAACTCCTACCTACTATCATATTTTCCCTGTATTTTTTTTATATATAACATCTATCCGCATTCTATTTAATATAACTCTCCCTTCTTTATTGTCTAATTTTTATTTCATCATCAAAAATATATTACTTTTTTCTCTCTTTATTTTTGTTCTCCTATACCCTTTATACCTTTTATATTATATATTTATGTTATATCTAATTGTTCTCTTATCATCTTTGTTTATTTTTTTTTATCTCATATGAAATTTTTTGTCAGAAATTAAAGGTACTATTTTTTTTTCTCCTTTGTCTTTTATATTACATGTTTACGTTCTATCTAATCTATCCCTTATCTTGATTGTTTATTTTTCATTTCACATGACAATCTTTGTTAGAAATGAAAGTTTTATTCCTTTTTTTTTCCTCCTCAACCCTCTATATCACATATTCACATTTTATTTATTTTATTTATACCCTCTTTATTCAATTTTCATCTCACATGATAATTTTGTTTGAAATAGAATGTACTACTTTTTTTCAATTTTGGATCCTTGCTTATATGTTCATTGCCAATGACTTAATATTATAAAAAATAAAATATAAAAAATATTATGCAATTATTATTAATTATGAATAACATAAAAATATTTTTTTGTCAAGATTATAATGTGTGATAATTTAAAATTATGTATAATATTTATTTATATATATTACCATTAGTTATCAACTTTTTAAAAGGTTATTTACGTGACTCTTATTTTTTTGAATTTGAATCTAGCAAAAAAAATATTAAAGGATGAAATATTATATAAATATAAATATAATAATATTTTTTCTTTACAAACCCTATTAAAAACAATAATAAATTTATACTTTTATAAAAAAAATCAATAACAAACTTATATTATATAATTAAATAATTATATAAAATTTATATATTAACTAACAAAATAATATTTCTTAATTTAAATAAATTCTTTTTTTTATCCGCGCAGGGCTATATCTAATCTTGATAAACTGCAAACTATTTAAGGATTGTTATGCAAACTATTTTCATAATTTAAACTTGTTCATGTATTAACAATTTTGATAAACTGCAAACTATTAAAGTATATAAACAAATAAGAATATTAAAATA